TGATCAATTTTTGAAATTTAATTATAACTATAGTTAAGTAGCTTAATTAAATACTCTTAATATAGCCAATGCCTTAGTCCTTTAATATTAAATTTATCCTGCCTTTACCTACTGGACACCCAATTTTAAAATACTCGTGATCGTTATCCAAAGAAGTTGTACCTTAATTATTTCCTCCACCAATTAAACAGTACGTTGAGGCATGTCTGTAAAGATCATCGTATCTGTGAGCAATAGAGGCCATTTCCACACCCTTCCTATAATGTCTAGTCAAGTGCTTGAAGCACCTTATGACTTTCGGTGGATTTGTAGGCGCGCCATTAACGTCTGTTTAGCGCCATGAAAAGCGTCGGAAGTTAGATATATGGGCCCAAAACTGACCACAAGCTGACGCCAAGTTGATGGGCGCCGCTGCTATAGCTCCGAAACTCCAAAAACCTAAACTAGCGTCGTTCGATTTAAGTTGATTCGATTCGATTTTTGTTACACAGTTTTGGTGTCTCCCCACGGCAGCCCGTATCTGTCCGGTCTTCGGTGTCCGTAGTTCGTTGTCCGTTGTCCGTTGTCCAGTGTCCGTTGTCCGCCGGTGTTCGAGACGTGACGTGACGAGTAACTGGCGTAATTGGCACTGCAACCAAATTGATGGATTGCCCGGCGCCGACTGTCACCGCTCCAAGAACAAAACTTGGCGGTACTTTTTGGGTTTCCTTTGTAATTTTTGGGTAAATCGATATTTGTGCCATTTTTTTGTTTCGTTTTTTTCTGGGCTTTTGGTTTTGTGCAGCTTTTGACTCTGGCGTTTTGTTCGCTTCTGTAATGATTAATTAATCGAAAGTACTTATCAGGCTCTGGTGAGGCGGCGACGGATGCCTGTTGCATGTTGGCCAAGAGTCGTGCTAACTGGTCCGTCGCCTCTTTAATTGAATATGGAATCAGACCAGACAAGCTCATTACCTTTATGAATAGGATTTTAAGCTTCCTACCCCAATTAGTTGCTGAATTCATCACATGTCTATTTTTCGGCTAATTCCAAAACTTCTTCACGGGGATCTCGTCCAGTATTTTCTTGATTGATACCTCTAATTGGAGACGACTCATTTTTCCAGAGTTTTTATAAAAATTCCCCAATTTACATACATAAGTCGGTCACTTCGAGTAGGCAAATCGAGGTTGGCTGCGAGGTTACGGAAGAGTTTTTCTTTCCTATACTTCAAAGAAATATTTTTTTTATTTTATTTAGTTCTGCCTAATGGTTAAATATCTAAATACTCAAATAGGCAAATATACCTTTGTATATAAGCGTTACGACCCTATAAAGTAGAAATATTCTTAATCAGGATCACTTCCGATTCGATCTAACAATGTTCGTCTGTGCGTATGAGCACTGATATATCTGAATCTATAAGAGCTAGAATGCAGTGCAAGTTTGTTTAATCGAAGTTCCACGCCCGTAACGCTAAAACCTGTCAAGCGCCCATTATGTTGCTTCTATCAATACCCACCTACATGGCCATCCATATGCAATACCCATCTACATCGGACCATTCAACAAAAAGTTATTAGCAAACAAGAAAGGAAGCTTTACCCTTCAGAGCTTTCCGATTTTTAGAAAGCCAGAACTAATTATAGATGTATTAATATAATGTAGTATTTTAATTTACTACCGTATATGTTTAAGGAAAACAACATATAACGCTCTTTGTATAATTTTGACATTAATTATCCAACCGTTCATTTGGCAGCTATATGACAAAGACGTCCGGTTTTTCAAAATTTTATTCGAAATTCTGATTGACTCGTCTAGTGATGCTGATCAACAATATATATACTTTATTGAGTCGGGAACGTCTCCTTTACTGCGTTGCAAGCTTCTGACTGAAATCATTATCATTATGCAAGGGTATAATAAAGGAATATACGTTAGGTGGTCGGTTGGTGTGATGTGCAATTGGCTGCATGCAAACCTTCACCTCTCTCATCTTTAGCCATCGACTATATCGTTTTCTCTTGTTTTAGCGATAAACAAATATACATAAGTTTGGTTGATATGTGATATATAAAACGTTCAACTAGATTACAATCATTAGAATAATTAGATCAGCAAAAATACTTTAAGCAACGATTTTATTGAGTTAGCTTATAAATTGAAAGACTAGTTTGCTTAGAAACGGACAGACACAAAGACGGTTGATTTTTAAGATTATATAGAATTTATAGGTTAGTATATATCATCTTCCCCGTGTTGCAAAATTACAAAAAATTAAAAAAAAAGTCAAATTGATTTGTCATATGTAAAAACTTTACTGTATCATGTTTTAGTTTTCACCAGTAGCGAAATAACTTAAACGGAAGTTATTTTTTAAACTTTGCGAATATTTTCTCTAACATATAGAAAAATGTATGGTAACATAAAATTAGTACATTAAGTCTCTTAAATGTATAATGGGTTGTTCAGAGAGTGCAACCGAAAACCGCATGATACTTCCATCTTGAAATTATTCAAATAACGAAAAAAAAGAAAAAATGGCACTGTAACCTTTTTTTTTTTATTAAATTAACTTCAAACTTTTTAAATAGACTTTGAGTTTTAATTATATATATATATACATATATGCGAATAGGCATTGCATATATATATTCGTTAATTCGAATTGTACACGTCCTGACAATTCACTTAACTTTAATCTCTTGGAATCTCGTGGAATTTGAACAACATAAACATTGACGAAGGACTCGTGAATGACCTTGACTGTTTAAGGTGCAAAATTATGCAAAAACTCCTCGGACAAGATAGTAAAGCCACCCGGTATTAACCAAAATCCTATGGCTCAAGAGTCTTTCATTTTTGAACCGGATAAAGTTGAAGCGAGACAACCGGCTGCACACTCTCTTTATCCGCTTCTCAGCCGAAGCGAACCAATGGGAGCAGACTTTCTATGGAACAGCCCTCGCTACACAAATATTCTATCCAAAACAACATTCTACCCTTGTTTTCCTTTGCGAAATATAACTTTTGTACAAAACAGCTGAACAGGAAAATATAAGTAATGGTTAGGCACCGGTTTTCATTGTTGATTGGCAGGCTTCGGGGAAAAGCCGAATTCGCAGTTTGGGTAAGTTTCTTGGTGAGAGTACATTTTTTTTTTAAATAAAATTCATATCATTACCGAATAACAAAGAATATAAAAATCTTGCGAGGTACAACATTTTGTATCTGTGTTACTTTGAAATTATCTTAGAAATGGATAGATGAGACAATTTCATATTTGGTCGATTTTATTTATTTCTAAATAATAAAATAAAATAACAAGAAAGGAAGTTAGCTTCGGCAAGCTTAAGTTTGTATACCCTTGCAGTTAGAATTATTACATATAATTCGGAATTCTTAAAATTACAAAAAATAATATTACCAATAGTGTAAGATATTGTGTCAAAAAACACCGAAGCTATAATTTGTTTCATATTATTTTCCCACCAACTTTCCGATCGTTCCTGTGGCAGCTATATGATATAGTCCTCCGATTTTGATAAAAAGCGTAGGAGGTTATATGTTAAAAACACCAAGGATATAATTTTTTAAAATTTTTTTTCCGATTGTTCCAATGGGAGCTATAAGATATAGTTGCCCGATCCGTCTGGTTCCGACTTTTATCCTACCTGTAAAAGAAAGAAGACTTTTGGGAAAGTTTTAGCCCGATAGCTTTAAAACTGAGAGACTAGTATGCGTAGAAACGGACGGACAGACGGACTCGTCTAGTGATGCTGATCAAGAATGTATATATTTTATGGAGTCGGAGACGCCTCCTTCACTGTGTTGGAAACTTTTGACTGAAATCATAATGCCCTCTGCAAGGGTATAACAAACATTAAGGTTTTTATCCGAGTTGAGCGCCATCTGTTGCTCGAGTTTAATTGAACATAGCATACTTTTCGGCTGATTTGATTTAGTTGTGAAGAGGGTGGCTGCTATGCCGAATGGGGGGTCAAAGGGAAAGAAGTGGTTGGTGCTCAATATGTAGAATGGAATCTTATCTCATATTATTTTGGTTTGTTTGAATTATAATGAATTATGAAATTTAACGATCTATTATTGATGTGTTCAATTTATGTTACTTTTTATTCTGATGCATTTTTTTGGAAAACTGGAAAGATAAATTTGTATCGATATTTTATAGCAATGTTTTAAATATAATTTTGATTTTTTTTTTAAACAGAGAATATTGTCGATTTCAAATTTTAAAAATGTTTGACATCCCTAGTATAAAGCATGGAATGGGAATTAATCGTATGAAAGAGGTTTGTGGTGCCATCAAGAAAATTATCTACTTCACTGATGGAGCTGATCAGCTGTTTTTATACTCATTTATTTTATTTAAAATTACTTTTGGATGTGTACACTTTAAAACCTAATGTTGGTATTACATGCGGACAAGAAAACGAATATTAATACATCAACTACTTCAAATTTGTTTTAAATTAAAGAAGATACAATTTTTTTTAAACTAAGAATAATCCTTTTATTAAAATTGAAAGCAAATGTGATTTTTTTTATTGGAAAATAAATTACAAATGAATTTTAGTTCGGAAGACAGCGCAACATTGTGGAAGGAGCCAATACCACGAATGTAAGTAAAAAACATTTTGCAAACCTGTCGATTGCCTGATAAACTTGTTGAGGCATCGGCATCTCAGCGCCAATTAGGCGGTCTAGAAAGAGACTGGACTGGAGGTCCCCGCGATGACCTTGTCAACATCCAGATGCAGAAGGAGAAGCAGATGCAGGGCACTGTGGCATTGGGTCAACGAGCAGTCAGTCGCCTATAAAAGCCGATGGCCAGGCCGAAGTAAACTTGTGTAAAATCAGCTACCGACAGGAGCAAACCTCAACCTTCTACCGGATTCTGAAACTTCAATCATCATGTTCAATCAAGTAAGCTTCATTGTGCTCTACCTCTTGAGATAAATCTGATCGTATACCCTTCGACAACCCGCAGATTGTGATATATGTGGCTCTTATAAGCATGGCTCAAGCTGGTTTACTGCCAGTAAAATCGTCCGGAAGCGACGCCACCTTTGATCCCCATCCGCACTACTCCTTCAACTACGATGTTCAGGATGCAGAGACCGGAGATGTTAAGTCCCAATCGGAGTCTCGGGACGGAGACGTGGTCCATGGGCATTACTCCGTTAACGATGCCGATGGCTACAGACGCACTGTGGAATACACCGCCGATGATGTCCGTGGTTTCAATGCGGTGGTGCGCCGTGAACCACTTTCGAGTGCCGCGGTGGTTCTGAAGCCAAAGGTGCCAGTTGTGGGTCCCAAAGTTCAGTACCAGCCTCTGAAGAAGTTACCACCACTGAAGCCTCTTTCTCAGGCATCGGCCGTGGTGCACCGATCCTATGCACCAGTGATCCACCATGCGCCAGTGACCCATGTGGTGCACCACGCAGCTCCTGCCCATTCATACGTTTCCCACGTTCCCCTGCTGAAGACCTCCCTGCACCACGCTCATCATCCGCACGCCATTTCCTATGTGTTCTAGGTTGGGTCTTTTGATTACGTTAAACAATGCCTGAATAAAACACTTTTAGATAAATGTCGTATCTATTCTTTTTTTCAAAAGTCAGGAAGACGCCAAAACCTAATAACATTGAAAAGGAAATTATTTTGAATATATATCATTAATAAAAACATACATTGAAGTCAAGTTTAGAACGTTAAAAAGGTGTCCAGACAGGTGTTTATGTAATCAATAAAATTTTAAATGTCTAATCTTAATAAAACCATGGTTAGTTTTAAATACTTTTGAAATCGATTTCAACTGTTATATTTTCTGTTCGTAATTTCAATTCAACAACTTATTTTTTTCACAACAAATAATGTCTTGCATTTCAAAAGCACAACACAACAGATGCTGTCTTTCTATTAGCAATAAGCAAAGTAATCCCAGAAAAACATGGACACAAGAACATAACAAGTCGTGCTATGCCCGTTCCACAATTCCATTTTCAATAAGAACACCGCCAAAACGTCCGCAGTCACAGCTCGTTTTTTGGGTGGCATTCGGAAGTGAGGTGTCGCACTAAAGTTAAGCTTGAAATCCAATTAGCGTTCAACTGGAGCAACAGCCACCGAAAATAACCGTTTAAGGTCGTCGGTGGGGGTGGGGTTACCCACTGGCCAAACTCAAAGTTTCTGGCCAGGAGGGGAATGGAATGGGAATCGGAAATCAGAAATCGGTATGGGTGAGCTTGCAAGTGCAGAGTCAATTTGAAAAACCGTTGTTATGCATTTGCGCATGCGCTGCATACGATATGGCTGCCATTAGCGAGCGAGTATTTTTCGAAAGCGCAAACAAATGCCAGCCGATCATCATTAATGCTGGATCGATTTGGGGGTGGGGGTTTTCTGGGGCAGGGGTACCCGAAGTGCACGTATTCGGGTATGCGACTTCTGAGGCCAATATTAATTCGGCCGGGCTGCCCGCTCAAGTCCAATTCAATCAAGAAGGCATTATGCTCGCCGAGGCTTTGTCACCGCTCAGCCTTGGCAGCGTGCCGCCCACCGCCGTCCTACCTCAAGTACCCGCCCCCTGCCGCCCCAGCAACGACCGCTTCTAGTCTTGAGCGTCTCGCATTTTGATATGGTCGACGTTGCCTTGTGACGCAAGTGCACGCCGCTGACATCGAAGCCGGGCAGAGTGCCATCGAGGCGGTATAAAAGCCCCAGTTGGACGCTGTTCAAATCAGTTCATCACCAATTTCGGTATCTAGAGCAACCCAACCCAACCCAAGCAAAAATGGCATTCAAAGTAAGGACCAAGTTCTAAAACGTGGAGAAAGTGATACATGAGTGATAATAAGCAGAGAAAAATGAGCACAGTGGTTTCCCTTTTCCTAAAATGTAGTAAAAGTAGTAAAACTTAAGACATCGGACTAAAATTGTTGAACTAATCACACAAACTCTTCTGGACAATTGCAGTTCACCATCCTTTTCGCCGCCTGCATCGCCGTGGCCAGCGCTGGCATCATTCCCGCCGCCGCTCCCCTGGCCGCCGTGGCCCAGGTGGAGGAGTACGACCCCCACCCCCAGTACACCTACGGCTACGACGTCAAGGACGCCATCTCCGGGGACTCGAAGACCCAGGTGGAGACCCGCGAGGGCGACGTTGTCCAGGGCCAGTACTCGCTGAACGACGCCGACGGCTACCGCCGCATTGTGGACTACACCGCCGACCCCATCAACGGATTCAACGCCGTCGTGCGCCGTGAACCCCTGGTGGCCGCCGTCGCCGCCGCTCCCGCCGCCGTCGTGGCTGCCCCGGCTCCAGTTGTCCGTGCCGCCGTCGCCGCCCCAGTGGTCCGTGCCGCTCCTCTGACCGCCGCCTACGCCGCAGCCCCCGCACACCTGGCCTACGCCGCCGCCCCCGCTCCCCTCGCCTACGCCGCCCCTGCGCCCATCGTCAAGGCCGCTCCCCTGGTCGCCGCTGGACCCGCCATCGTCAAGACCCAGTTCGCTTCGCCTCTTATCTCGTACGCCTATTAAAGAGCTAAATAGGCCACCACGACCCGATAATTGCCGTTAGTTGTTATTGAATAAAAGGATGTGATCTAATTGAATGGAACTCAAGTTGGTTTCTATGGATTGGCGGGGTCTTAACTGTATTAAGGGTTGGGAAACCGATATATTCCAGAATAGAAAGCTTTAGCTTCATAAAAATAAAATATTAAACGATACTTGTATCATACAGATAATATTTTAGATAGATATATTAAAGTCATCTATAGAAGATCTCAATTCAAAAAATATTTTAAAAGCTCTTGGCTTTAGGTCTAAATTTGCTTTTAAGTCCTGATATAAGTTAAGTCATCATAGCAAGAAATACGAAAGTACTGAAATTAATTGTATTAATCTAAGAGTCGTTATCTTACCCGCATGTCAAATTCAATTTTTTTTAGAAATTTGTATTTTAGCATGCGGGCAAATGTTAATTGTTCTGAATAGTTGAACCTTTTTTTGAAAGTGCTTAAGAAAATTTTGTTCAGATAAGTTGATTGACCGCAACTAAGGTATTTTACAGTTTTTACGGAATAACATGTATTTCATACCTAGATAGAAACACTTAAGAGATAAATGCGGGTTGAATTAATATGTTCCAGATTTAGGGCTAAACAATGTAAGCCACAATGTGGGCAAAACGTTTTGCCAACGTTTTTTCCAATCCTCGAAACATGCCAAACAGTCCTTTTCGGGTAGTCAAACGACGCAAAACGCTCAAATAATATTCCTTTTAAAAAGTTTGGCCGTGTGGAAGAAATTCAAAGTGCACATCACCACGAAAATCGAAAAAAATAAATTACAAAAATATCATGTTGCCCATAGTAGTATGTTTTTCAATAAACCCCCAACCCTTATAATTGTGTTTCTTAAATTTAAATTCAGGCTGCCATTCCAGGAAGCATTTTAGATACACTTTTAAAATATTATAAGCTGGTCAAAATCCTCGTTTACTAACTTCTGGTTGGTTGAAGCCGAAAGTGCCGGTCACTTTCACTCTCCCACGACCGTGTTCAAGGCCGGCTCAAAAGAAAGAACGCATGTTAAAGCGACTGCTACTGACAAAATAGCACTTACTGTCACAAAAAGCCAACAATGAAGTAATGTCGCATAATTGGACAGCGAAACCGCAGTCCAACACGTCCAAGAACGCACAAAATGCGCGACAAAACAGCGGAGGCAATGCCAGAAGCGTTTACACCGGGCCAATGTAAGGTCCATAAAACAGTTCCAGCGAATATAAATTTAAAGAGGGAAGCCCCAAAGCCAAAAGCCGTTTACTCATTCAAAAGCCGGTGTAAACTGGGCCTTAAGTCTGGTCTGGTTTTCAATGCGACACGAGCATGGTTGTAATTCGCCTGGTTAACTTTATGGGCCTCGCCGCGAGTTGCGCATGCGCATTGGCATTAAAATCTGAACTGCTGGCGTGGATCTCTTAGCCGGTGTACTTACATGCTAAACATGGGAATGGAAATGGAAATGGGCAGCCAAGTCCGTTCGCTCCAACGGTAATTAACAATGCCAACTGACTTTGACCTTAACCCTCGCCGTCCGTTGTCCGCTGTCCGCTGTCCAATGTCCCCTTTAAAGTACCTTGGCATATTTGCACTTGTCCGCGTTGGAAAGGCGGTCGGTCAGATAAGGAAAACGACGCGGGGCCCAATAATGTCGCGTAAATCATTCTCAAGCATGCCCGAAAAAATCGAAAGACTTGGCGAAAGGTTTCTGGCCACGCCAAAGCTGCAACGTAAGTGACCTTAACTGGTTTCCAAGAGCGGACAGCATTACATGCATTAAATTCAATAAGCCTTCGACGCAGATGGTTTTATTGAAATGTTCCGATCGATGCGTTTTCGTTCCGATCGGATGTCTACCCCAATTTTCGTTGATTGGTGCAAAATGGGTCGGACGCGAACGCCTGATCAATTTGGGGCCCTTAATGACTTATTGCTGACTGAAAGTTTATTACAAAGTGCATATGGTTGAGAGGGCTTTGGGAAGAGTCAAGGTAATGCGAAGTAGGCACTTCCATAGACGTTTATGGGGTGGGTCTAGGGATACTCCCTCTGTTGCTAATAACCTTTTAAAAACATTACTCTAAAACCCAACTAAACCGCCTTAACGTTTACAAAAACGCCATATGTTTTTCTTGAGCTTACAAATATTCAACAATTTATTGATCTACAACAGATTCCACAAACCAGTTGGATAGATCCTTAGTGGTGCTGGTGGTAGGCCACTGGGATTGGGGCAGCAGCAACGGGAGCCACGGTCTTCACCACGGTCTTCACATGATCCAGGGGCACGCGGTTGACGACGGCGTTGAATCCGTTGACCGGGTCGGAGGTGTACTGCACAATGCGCTTGAAACCATCGGAATCGATCAGGGAGTACTCTCCGCGGACCACGTCGCCATCGCGCTCCTCCACCTGGCTCTTGGAGTCGCCGGAGAGGGCGTCCTGCACATCGTAGGCGAACTTGTACTGGGGATGGGGGTCGTACTCCTCGGCGGCCTTGGTCAGAACCGGCTGGGCGTGGGCCACGGCAACAGGGGCATGGGCGTAGGTGGCCACGGCGGGGGCGGCATGGTACACCTGCTGGACGGGAAGGACTCCGGCACTGACAGCCGAAACGAGGGCGAGAACAGCGAAGAACTGAAAACCGAGCAAAAAAGGGTTAGTTTCAAGAAAGATCAGATTGTCCTTTCAGGATCGCTCACCTTGAAGGCCATGGCTCTGAGTTTGAAAGTGGGCTTGGTGGCTATCCGTAACTGCTGCGAAGACAGAGAAGATGTGGAATGATTTACTGGACCACGAGCACTGCTTTTTATACCCACTGAAAAAGTGCAAAAAGCAAAATGCGAATAACGAATTGAAATTGATTAATTCGCTGCTGGGCAAATCATTTTTGTCACTTTTCATTTTTTCTCATTCGTTTCTGTATTATTGCTATGCTATTTACCTCATTAATTTATCGACTGGAAAGGGCGCAATTACAACTGCCCACGCCGTGGGCCACAGATACATTTATGCAATCCGCAGAGACATGCAAATGTGGTGCGGCTTAGTGTCATAGGAGAGACCCTCGGACTGCTTTAGGTATTTGGAATAAGTCTGACCCTCTGCAGGCTATTCGCGAATCAGCCGCTTTCACTATTCTGCCTTGAGTGGTATATCATGTTACCAGCACTGGGAGACCAAAAAGCTTAAGATAACAGAGAGCGTGGAACTGACCTACACAGATGACTTGTTAGAAAAAGTAATATTATCTATTAAGAAGGAGAGTATAAATATAAGAGCGAATAATATTCTGCTTGGCACGGTCTTGGGCAAGAAAATACCTGAATATTTAGAAGAACACAGTTTTGAAAAAGACTCCAAGTTCAACAAGGAAGAACGCTATAGTCGAGTACCTCGACTATCAGATACCCGTTACTCAGCTATATGGAGATATGCAAGCAGCAAAGCGAGATTAAAATGCGCCACCTACCGGCGGTATACAGATTTAAGCGTTATGGGCGTTAGAGTGGGCGTGGCAAATTTTTTTTTGGATCAATCGATAGGTATCGACGAGACCAATACATTTCAGTTAAAATTTTTTATCTAGCATGAAAATTGTGGGCGTCACAGGTTTTCGCGGTTTGTGGGCGTTAAAGTGAGCGTGGCAAACTTTTTTTTGGGTCAATCGATAGGTATTGATGAGAACAATACATTTCAGTTAAAATTTTTATTCTAGCATCAAAACTGTAGGAGCCACAGTTTTGGGCGGTTTGTGGGCGTTAGAGTGGGCGTGGCAGTGTACAGAAACAAACTTGCGCTGCGCAGGAATCTCAGGAATCTGCGTGCCTAATCCCAGTATTGTAACTCTCATAGTTTCCGAGATCTCAGCGTTCATACGGACAGACGGACAGACGGACAGACGGACATGGCTAGATCGACTCGGCTAGTGATCCTGATCAAGAATATATATACTTTGTGGGGTCGGAAACGCTTCCTTCTGCCTGTTACATACTTTCCGACGAATCTAGTATACCCTTTTACTCTACGAGTAACGGGTATAAAAATGCACTGACCTAGACAACACATTCCAATTCCTGGTTTATTACAACTTATAATTTCGGGAATGCGCCAAGTTGTAAAGATTGTCTTGTTACAATATTAACAAGGTTGCCTATTCGTTTAGAAAATTATTTAGCAACATTTTTTTATAAGTTGCCTATATTAGAATAGTTATATATATTTATATAGTTATATATTTATATATATATTTTGTATTCTTTACACATCCGTGTAAAGTACACTCAGGGAAAAACACCGTGCTAAAAACAAGTACAAACAGCCTTGATTTAAGAAAATTGCGTTCGTGCTCAAAAAATCCTCATATTGAGCACTTTTTGGAATTTTAATGTCTGCCAACTCTAATAATAATTAAACTGTTTATTCTGAAAGTACTCGGTATATAAGGCGCATAAATTAGACAGAGTTAATGTCCGTGAGCGGACATTATATTTATATATAAATATCTCGTTAATTTCGTTTCAGTTTCCAATACACCTATTCCTAGCTTTGCGTCGGGAATACGTTCCAAAAAAATACGACGCCAATTGAAACGACGCAAAGTGAATTAGGATTTTCTATAGCAAACCATGTAAAGTCCGAAGATGGGTTCCAGGGTTACAAAAATACTACTTTTTAAAAAGAAAATTGAGCAAAGTGATCATTAAAAAAATACCAAAACAACATTTTATTTTATTACATATTGTACATATAAAAACAAAAAGAAACTAATTCATTTAAAACAAAATAAATTAGAAAAAAAATTAGAATTAATCACTCTCTGACGAGTCTTTAGTACCTGTTGTCGTAGGCCGGCTTTCTTTAAAAAAAATTGGTCCAATGTTTGCTGAACATTTTTTTTTTAAATTATATTAACGCTTCATCCCAAAGCAACGCAACATCGAAAATCTAACGACGCACAATAAGTTCTAATTAAGAACCGACACAACTTCTAAAAAACGCAAAACGAAACGACGCAAAGCGAGGGATAGGTGTACCTATTTCTCTTACTAGCATAAAATAAAAACTCATTTTAATTTCATAATATTTATTTATTGATTTAAGAACTATTCGTCCTTAAATCATGCCTGCAACTTTCTTACTTTATATTAAATCGTTACTGTTTTTAGTCCAAATATGACTTGATTTAAGAATTATTCATACTTGATTGAATACCGAAAGGTTCTTAAATCTAGTATTTCGGTCTCGAAAATTCGTGCTTGAAAGTAGTATTTTGTTCTCGGGCTCTGTATTTTCCATGCTTGGAGAAGTTTCGACACCGAAAAGCTTGATTCATACACGAAATACTGCATTTTTTCTGAGTGTAGTTCATGCAAATTTAAAAATTTAGCTCATTGCTGATCAGTAAAAAAAATTAATCCTCCTAAATATAAGAAATAAACAACAGATATAAAGGTAAGCCACATCTATTAAGGATTTTTAAGGGTTTGGTTAGCAAAGTGCCTTGTGCCGAACATAATTTAATTAGAATTCTAAGCCAAAACAAAAAACAGTTAAAATTAATATAACAAATCACATTTTATTATCATAGAAACAAATCAACAGACTGGATAAACAACGCTCGCATCGCGGGTAATTACAAGTTGGCGATGGTGTATGTGGGGGCGGTGTAGCGCAGGGGCGTGGCATAGGCAGCGGTACGCAGGACAGGGGCGGGAGCAGCCACCGCCAGGGGGGCAGAGCGGACGAAGGGCGTGGCAACTGCCAGAGGAGCGGACTTGATCAGGGGAGCAGAGACGGCCACAGGAGCGGATCGGACAATCGGAGCAGGTGCGGCCAGGGCGACGGGGGCGACAGCCTTAACCAGCGGAGCAGGGGCAGCGACATTCACCACCGGCTCGGCGGCCACGACGGCGGCAAGGGGTTCACGGCGAACGACGGCGTTGAATCCGTTGATGGAATCGGCGGTGTAGGTCACGGTGCGCTTGAAGCCGTCGGCGTCGATCAGGGAGTACTCTCCGCGGACAATGTCTCCGTCACGCTCCTCCACGTGGCCCTTGTTGTCGCCGGAAAGAGTGTCCTGCACGTCGTAACTGTAGGAGTACTGGGGATGAGGGTCCACCTCCTCCAGCTCGACGGTCTTGGCCAGAACGGGAACCGGAGCAGCAGCCACTGCCACAGGAGCAGCAGTCCTCAGGACGGCACCATGGGCCACGGCGAACAGGGCCAAAGCGATAACAATCTGTGGGATACATTTAAATCTTTTTATAGATCTATTCTATATTTTGTTCTATAAGGATACTATCATCCAGAATTTATGTTTTTTTTTAATTTTTAGTAATGCACTGGTAATCCTCTGGAACGTTTATCCTCCGACAAGTAATACGAACCTTAGCTGCCATTGTTGGTTGGTTGGTTTTGATTAACTTCTGCTGTCTTGGGCTAAAGCCGAACACTGAATGTCTGACCCAGTGTGGGCCATTGGATTTTATACGCCACTTTGTGACATTGATGACACCTAATTGGAATTCATTTTTGGCGCATCACCTCGAACGTCGATGGTGGCTTGAAAAAATTGTCACGCGCCTTCTTCAGTTCTGCCAATTTGAAAGTGTCCGATTGAAATAACCAGCTGCACTTAATTGATTACGCCAGGCTAATTATACCCGTTACTCGTAGAGTAAAAGGGTATACTATATTCGTCGGAAAGTATGTAACAGGCAGAAGGAAGCGTTTCCGACCCCATAAAGTATATATATTCTTGATCAGGATCACTAGCCGAGCCGATCTAGCCATGTCCGTCTGTCCGTCTGTCCGTCTGACCGTCTGTCCGTCTGACCGTCTGACCGTCTGTCCGTCTGTCCGTCTGTCTGTCCGGATGAACGCTGAGATCTCGGAAACTATGAGAGGCTATTAGAATTAAAATTTGGCGTACAGATTCCTGAGCTTCTTACGCAGCGCAAGTTTGTTTCAGTAGACTGCCACGCCCACTCTAACGCCCACAAACCGCCCAAAACTGTAACTCCTACAGTTTTGATGCTAGACAGAAAATTTTAACTGAAATGTATTGTTCTCATCAATACCTATCGATTGACCTAAAAAAAAGTTTGCCACGCCCACTTAAACGCCCACAAACCGCGAAAACCTGTGACGCCCACCATTTGCATGCTAGATAAAAAATTTTAACTGAAATGTATTGGTGTCGTCAATACCTATCGATTGATCCAAAAATAAATTTGCCACGCGCACTCTAACGCCCATAACGCTTAAATCTGTCTACCGCCGGTAGGTGGCGCATTTTAATCTCGCTTTGCTGCTTGCATATCTCCATTTCCCTTTGAGTAACGGGTATCTGATAGTCGAGGTACACGACTATAGCGTTCTTCCTTGTTTTAATTACAATTTTCCAAGACGTTTTAAATATTTAAGGAAACGTATTTACTACAAGTATTAAGCTTCAGTTATTGTAATAACAAGAATTACAGGTACTATACCTCAAAATAATTTGTAAGATATCAAAAAAGAATGTAAAGGAAGCACAATATGATTATTTGAAAGGAGTACTGCATAATAAATATTTTGAGTGCCAAGGGCATAAATAGTCAAACACGACAACGATACAGTTGCTGCGATGGTTACCTAGTAATAATTAATAATAAATAAATTTAAACTGAAAACAAAATAGAATAAAACTATTTGAGGATTTAACTAATCTTAAATCCAAGTAAATTCTTTTGGATTGCAATTATAATTAGTCACTACCCACCAAGTAACTTTTAAAATTAAGACAATTTCATTATCTTAAAATCTTGGACTCGAAAAAATAAAAAATATTAGTATACAGCCTTTTTTGGAAATACTATAACCACATCTTAAAGTCATCTCGGTTTCTAAGCATCTTTAAATTAATTTCTTTTTAAATGTCTTATTTACTAGTTCATTAACTGCTCCGTGAATATAGTGGTTTTTGCCAATGGTAGTGTCAATGCGCACGCTTTTCGTATCTCTTGGATAAATTGACTTATTTTGATGACAAAACACAAAGATACAAAGATTGAGCACGGTTTCAATGCTACACTTTTCCCCTCTCCACACACGTTTAGCATAAATGAATTGCACTAATTACGCCAAGAGCGTGGTCAGCGGCCAAAGCAAATTCGGCGATTCAACGGCAGCAGCAGCAGCTCAAGAAATGGCTCAATCTTTGTATATAAGCGGAGTGCTGGCCCAGTAGCCCTCACAGTTCACTTCGCCTTCCAGCAACCAACAGCAGCAGCAGCTAGCCAACCAAACCTCTAAACATGGCATTCAAGGTTGGCCCCGAGGATATAGCCCCACCAAAGACCCCAGATCCTAATCTGTCCCATCCCTTTTGCAGTTCGTCGCCCTCTTCGCCCTGATCGCCGCCGCCAGCGCCGGAGTTCTTCCCGTCCAGCAGGTGTACCACGCCGCCCCCGCCGTGGCCACATACGCCCATGCCCCTGTTGCCGTGGCCCACGCCCAGCCCGTGCTGGCCAAGGCCGCCGAGGAGTACGACCCCCATCCCCAGTACAAGTACGCCTACGATGTCCAGGATTCCCTCTCCGGAGACTCCAAGAGCCAGGTGGAGGAGCGCGACGGTGACGTGGTCCGCGGAGAGTACTCCCTGATCGACGCCGATGGCTACAAGAGGACCGTCCAGTACACCGCCGACCCCATCAACGGATTCAACGCCGTCGTGAACCGTGAGCCCCTTGTCAAGTCCGTCGCCGTTGCCCCGGTCGTCAAGACCGTTGCCGCTCCCGTCGCCCACTACGCCGCCCCCGCTGCCTATGCCTCCTACGCCGCCCCCTCTGTGGCTCACTACGCCGCCCCTGCCGTTGTGAAGACTGTGGCCCCAGTTGCCCACTACGCCGCCCCTGCTGTGGTCAAGACCGTTGCCCCAGTGGCTCACTACGCTGCTCCTGCCGTGGTCAAGACCGTTGCCCCAGTGGCTCACTATGCCGCCCCCGCTACCTACACCTCCTACGCCGCCCCCGCTGTTGCCTACCACCACTAAGAACTGATCCCACTGCCAATTTTTATTATAGTTTTACGAACGCCTTCTACAAATACACACATATTATTCATTAAATTTATTTGTTTTTGGTTGTCTTCAAAACGGGATGGAGAGTCACAAAGTTAATTAGAACTTAAAGTCTTAATATGAAATCAAGTTAATTTATTTAATTTAAACCTCGACTTTTATAAGCAGACCTGCAAAACATAATTTTATCTATCTTGCAGTGGGTGTGTCAAATGACTCAGTCAAATTGAGAGATTAATTTGCTTGTAATGGAAACGTTCATCAGCGTGCTTGCCTAGTTGCCAAAAGCATTACAGATTATAACATTCTCCTCCTTTAATTGCTTTTAAATTACTTTTAAAATATACGTTTTTTAAAATAAATTTTTTTTGGGAAAATGAAATATAATTACAGCTGCACCAATGGCATCCTTTAAATATAATTAACTTATGAACCTTTGGGAATATATTATTTAATAACTTGTCAGAGAAGCGAATCAGTATACTTCTCATTTCGTTTTTGGCCATGATTGAGCACTTATTTGTGCAATAAAAATGTCTGTAAGGCTAAAGAGGAAATCGTCTACCGGCTAACAAAATTAGCTATTATGGTTTATATAACTTTATTGGATAAATTACCAAAAAAAATTACATGGTGTGGTTTAAACAGAAATTTAACGTATGTCAGGTCAAGAGTACCTGACTAAAACAAGTTGCTCGCTTAAGTCTTTCGTTTTTTTGCAACAATTTTCACTCAGCGTGTGATGAATAGATGTTTTTTTTATTTTTTTAGTTAACAAATTAAGTTTTATGAAAAAAATAATATCAAGTTTAATAGCGTAAAGGAAAAATATAATAAACAGATAAGCCGTATACGAATTTTCGGAAACAAGGATTTAACGAGCTCTGTTTAAAAATGTATTAAAAATAATCTTTAAAATTGTTGTAAAAGTTCTCCCTGCGATGCTTTCAAGTGTTATCGGCATGCACTTAATTAAGTTACAGTTTTCCATTGAATGTAGAAAGCAATTCTGCGGCATTTTTGAAAAGATATCAAATTTAGTGATTTCAATGTGATCCAAGGTGGGCATTGGCCAGTGCCGAGGCTGTCGATTATTATCCCCCCCAGTGCCAGCACTCAACCTCAACCGTTGCCAAAGCCAAGCCCCAGCCGAGCAACCCAGCTGGCCAACAAAGAGGAGCGAAAGGCCAAGAGGTCTGGCTAATGTGGTTGCGATAGACCTTTGTGTGGGAAATGTGGAGCAAATTATTTCTTGCCGGCAATTGGACACACATATTTCGGGCCCGAGTCAGCGCCAGAGCCTTTACATATATAGTTGCCGGACTTGATAGCAGCAGATATGTCCCAAGTAATTTGAGATTCAATTTGTGTGCGACATTAAAATTGCAAAAAGTGCGATTGTTGCTACCGGATATTTTGGCAAGCCCGAAAACCGGTCTCGATTTACCCCTCTCCACTGAAGTGCGAAAATCGAGCACGGGCAAGTATTCGCATTAAATTGCTCACGCTAATCATGACCAATCGGGAAATACTAGCCAATTGCTTAAATGTAAATCTCACACTTCATAAAATTAATGCCAATTGTTCTCTTTGCACGCACTTTTTATTCATTTTGGAATTGCGAAATAAGCTTGCTTAAGATGGATGTTGGAGAATGTAATCTCAAGAGAACACGAGGCGATATGAATACATTCCTAATCAGGTTAGCTTAGGGGCCTTTGATATGGAATAATGCGAATCATTAATTGGAGTATTTGAATCTTTTATAAGGCGTTGCCTTGGCCTTGGCATTCCACAGGCTAAGCCTCGAAGGCGATTGGTAAAACTGTATTTCAATGCTGAAGGAAAATAAATTAATCCAGCTTTGTATTTTGAACTGAGGTTTAATTTAAAATTAAAAATAAATTTTACTCTCAAATATATTTATTTTCCCAAACTAAGAATGTAATTTGTTTATAGAAAAAACCTGGAGATATTTAATTTCAGTAAACAAAAAAATAACTTTCCAATACATTCCTTTTTTGTATTTTATGCAGATCCTTGCTTATATAGACTTTGTGGTTCCGTTTAAAATATTTTTTCAAGGAACTGATTCTGTATCTGAATTGAAAAGAAAATATCCGTTAAGGGGTCATTAAAATCTCATGTTTATATACATTTTTCAAAATTTTATTAAAAAATATTTACATTCGTACAAACTAAGCAACACAACTAGGTTAATGAGCTAAATGAGTTCTCCTAATGGGATGGGTGCGGGATAATACTTTTGCCTGTCGGGTGATCTGTGGTTGGAAGCCCCTTACTGGTGGTGGTAGTACTCATGACCTTCGTGGGCGGCCTGGGAGTGGGCGGGGGACTCGTAGCTGGCGTAGTGGTGCTGCTGGTGATCCTGCTCCTGGGGCTGCTCAGCCTGGTGGGCGGAGTAGGCGGGGGCGGTGTAAGCAGGGGCGGCGTAGGTGGGGGCGGCGTAAGTGGGGGCTACATAGGCTGGGGGAGGGGCGGAATAGCTCTTGATCACGGCAGCGGGGGCGGCAGGGGCGTGGTGATATTGGACGGGAGCAGCAGCAACCACCTTGTGCACATGGGCCAGGGGTTCGCGGTGCACCACAGCATTGAATCCGTTGACGGAGTCAGCGGTGTACTTCACCGTGCGGCGGAAGCCATCGGCGTCGTCCAGGGAGTACTCGCCCTGCACCACATCCCCGTCCCTGGACTCCACCTGGCTCTTCGAGTCCCCGGAGAGGGCATCCTGCACATCGTAGGCGAAGTTGTACTTGGGATGGGGGTCGTCGGGGTAAACCTCGTGGCCGTGGGGATGGATCTCGTGCTGCTTCTGGTAGATCACATGCTGCGGCTGGTGGGCCTGATGGGCCTGGTACAGCTGGGGCTGCTGTTCGTGCTGCTCCACCTGGATGAGTCCCGCGGATACGGCTGCCAGGCAGCAGGAGACCAGAGCAATCAGCTGGAATGGTAACGAAACATATTATAGCCTGTTGCCAAGGTGGGAATTACATCAGCCTCGGTTTACCTTGAAAGCCATTTGGCGAGCGTTTGAGGTTGATGGGCAAATTGCAGAGCGAAAGAAGCGAGACTTTGTCCTCCTTCTGTGGAGTGCGTGGCTTGAATAATAATCGAACCGCCGCTGCATTTGTATTTATAGACGAAATTTTCGTTGGCCCCACATCTTCGGCCCATTGTCTCTCCGCCGGCCTTTCTTTCACTTTTCAACTCGGTGGCTTACAGAAATCACTTCGATCGTAATTCATTTGCATGCCTTCCTCCCCGCCGATCGCTAGATTTACCCAAAAAGATTTGCACCCACGAGTCACACCCATTTCGCTATTGTTATGAATGGGAGACGGACGGCGAATAAGCGGACAAAGCAGCCAGAGCGTTACAAACAAAAGACTTAAGCGAGCAACTCGCCACGGATCAGCCTTTTGGGGATCGGGAGATTGGGGTATTGGGAGATTGGGGGGTTCGTGGTTTTGGGGCACACTCAAGTCGTGTAAGTAACCCAATAAATCGCCGCTTGATCGATGAACAGCATTGCACTTGACACAAGCTCACACACTCAGTAAAAATAGAGAAAAACGGCTGGAGCCGTACCTCCTCGCCCAACCCCCCCATTGGTAAATGACCCAAAAAAGATGCCTGATCACCGCACATGGAAAAATGGACAAGTAACGTTTGAGCTTTCAGGTCGAAGCTTTTTGCTCTCAGCCTTACAGCTATAATTGTGGCATTGGTAAGTGCTCAATCATGGCCGAAGTCGAAACGGGCAGGAAAGTGACTTAACCGGCGGCCAAGTGATGTAATAAAATATTGAGCGGGGGCTGGCACCGAAAGAATTTCATTTGAAGGTCGTCGTCAAAGAAGTGAAAGCAGTAAAATGATCTAAACAAATACTTAAAAGAGGGTGTGTTTCAGATCCAAATGTTTTAATTGGATCGTTCATTGATTTCTGATATGTATTATGACATGAGAATCAAAACATGAGTTAATAGCCGGTCAAGGTAAATTCAAAGTAACAATGCTAAGGTCTCAAGCTAATTAAATCAGGTAAATGTCAGTACCTTATATTGAAAAGTAAACAAAAGGGTTACATTAATTGGTCTAGAAACTTCTTAATCGCGATCGTAAAGTGGCCCTTATCTTGATATGTTATATCTTTAATAGAAGCTAACCCTAAGCTAAATTGAACAAATCTAATAGTGTGTTAAAAACACACAGGAATCAATGACCGCTTAAGGCCGATTTAATGCTCCACTCATTTTCAATTTCAATTCACATCAATTAATTTAGTTTATTTTCATTTCACTTTCAAGCCAACGTTTTAATTAACTAATTTGTTACCCCCATTGTTGTGCAAAAGATCCGAGATCATTACCCGACAATCAAACAATGAGACTAGAGATTATAAGAACGATTCATATCTCGTCTGAAGTACGTCTGGCCGCAAGTCAAACCAGTTCCTGTTCACTTCTATTTCACCCAGTCATCGTAGGAATACGAATCGAAATAGGTGCTGAAATTGGAAGGGGAAAAGCCGGTAACTTAGATCCGTTAGATACAAACTGAAACACCAACCGGAAGCCAATTGCCCACGCAACATACTTTTAACTAACCGCTACAATTTCCAATTGATCATTTTTTTATTAACAAAAAATCAATCATAAACAGCTCTTAACGAGGTAAGGGGTCGTGATGAACGCACCTTCAATATACAAAAGTTCTAATTTTAAGTTTAATGACGAAAAATGCTTGTAAATTCGATTAAATAAATACACTTTCTAAAATCTTTTTATTCTGCCCGCTTTAGCAAAATATTTTAACATCTCGCATACTAACATAAAATAAAGCGTGCTGAATAAGAACATTATAGAATTGGTTTTTATTTAGTCGAAGCTACATTTTTCTTCGCAAAATGTGAGTTCTATTAACTTTTGCTGTAACTCTCATATGAGATTTTATACCCTTATTGATAATAATATGAAACAAATTATAGCTTCGATGTTTTTTAACATATAACCTCATACGCTTGGAAATAACATTATTTAATTAGTTTTGAATTTCGAATTTAACTTTATTAAAATCGGACGACTATTTCACATAGCTGCCATAGGAACGATCGGAAAATTGGTGGGAAAATAATATAAAAAAACAAGGGAGAACGCTATAGTCGAGTACCTCGACTATCAGATACCCGGTACTCAGCTAAATGGAGATATGCAAGCAGCAAAGCGAGATTAAAATGCGCCACCTACCGGCGGTATACAGATTTAAGCGTTATGGGCGTTAGAGTGGGCGTGGCAAACTTTTTTTTGGGTCAATCGATAGGTATTGATGAGAACATTACATTTCAGTTAAAATTTTCTATCTAGCATCAAAACTGTAGGAGCCACAGTTTTGGGCGGTTTGTGGGCGTTAGAGTGGGCGTGGCAGTCTACTGAAACAAACTTGCGCTGCGTAGGAAGCTCAGGAATCTGCACGCCAAATCTCAATAGCCTAGCTCCCATAGTTTCCGAGATCTCAGCGTTCATCCGGACAGACGGACAGACGGACAGACGGACACGCTAGTGATCCTGATCAAGAATATATATACTTTATGGGGTCGGAAACGCTTCCTTCTGCCTGTTACATACTTTCCGACGAATCTAGTATACCCTTTTACTCTACGAGTAACGGGTATAATTATAGCTTCGGTGTTTTTCGACATATTATCCTATACTATTGGAAATATCATTTTATTGTATTTTTAAATTTAAGAATTATAACTGCAAGGGTATACAAACTTCGGATGGCTTAAGTTAACTTTCTTTCTTGTTATAATAGCATTTAAATAAATATATATATATTTTCGTTGGCAAAGCCAATTTAACTTGGTTCTTGTATCCCGTTCTTAATTACGGAAACATTGTTCAATCATTGTTAGGAATCTGAAATTGAATCTTCAACTTTTTTAAGTTTTTGGAGTTTTTACATTAGTTGTATACAAAAAATGTTTAGGTTTAGTTATTAATAATAAGACTCTAATTGTTTTCCTTTTTTTTTTTAAAATATCTCTTAAAAATGATTTATCATTAAATTAATGTTGCCTAGTTTTCGGCAAATTAAGTAAGCATGACAGGTTTTTCGTACTTAACTTGCTCAATAACTTTCAAACGGTAATTTTTATAACAAAATCAAAAGTTGAGGGTTCTCAAGGGCTATATAGTTAAAATTTGAAACGAAATCGTTCGAACCAATGTTGAGAAAATAGAAACAAAATGAATTTAAATCAGCATTTTGAATTTCCTTTTCAGCGACATATAGTGCGTTATGTAGCTTTAGTTGTTTAGAAACTATAAGCCTTGAAAATCTGCGTTTTTTTTGGATGTCCCGCTAATATAGCGAGATTTTCCAAAAGCCTTAAATAAAAAGTTTTCTATCTCGGGATTCCTAATACACCAATAAAGTCCCGAAGACATAAAACGAAAGAGAGATTCAAACCAACTTTCAAAACAAAGGGGCAAACATTTTAATTTTAAAAAGTCCCCCGAAATCTTGGTTTTGGAATAACTTTTAAGCGGTGCTGCGGATTTCAACAAATGAGGACAAAATAAGAACTAATAACCTCGGACATATATCACCACCAGCCCCAACAGCTACAATTCTAAAGTTATTCTTTTTATCCCAAGTAAATTAAAATTATTAAGGTCTTGGTGTGCAATCCTTTAAGTTTTAGCGATACCATTCGATTAAAGCATCTCTCCTTATGCTTGGACCATCACTGCATATTTCAATTCTGCGGCTGTATATAGAATTCGCACACTCTCCTGGTGCGCTTCACCACTACGTGAACTGCCGTTCACAGAGATAAAACTTATGATTTCTTTATTTTATTTTTCACTTTGTGCTGTGTAAAAACAGTTAGTCGGACGGCATTATCCTGTCCCTTTGGGGCGTTTATCATATGTTTTAATGTGTTGGCTTGACAAGATTCAACTTGTTCAATAGAAAAAGATAATTAAATATATATTCTTAAATAAGAAAAATAGTATAAGCCGGTAATATATAGATAGCCGGTAATATAGATATAGATATAGATTAGTGAACGCCGAATAATAATAGATCTACACAGAGAAAATTATGACGTTCTGAAATTGAGTATTTGTATTCTCAATTTGAACATGTACTCAATTTAAGTACAAAATTTGTGGAAAAAGCTCATGTTGAGAAAAGCTGCACTCATTTTAAGAAAAAGGACTTGAATTGATCGCAAAATTCTAGGTTTGAGGAAATGTTTTCTTAAATTTCCAACTTGAGAATTAATATTCTCATTATGAGTAACCGATAAACTCAAAAATGAGTTGCGAATTCTCATAAGGAATTCTAGAGAATTCCGTTCTGCGAACGAGACGAGACATGAGCGGCCTTAAGTTCATTGCGTATGTGGTTGTCTCTCTCTCACTAATGGGTGTGTAAAGTGGTGCGCGCCGCATTTGTGTGACTCATTTGCCGTGTGATTTAACAAAGTGAAGACGTGCGCGTAACTCAAAGCTAAAAAACTGTTTTAGTGAATTGGACATTCGTACGACCCTTCCGTACCTCGAGGGTAAGTTTTTTAATTTAAACTGTATTTATAATGTGCTAAACAATGATACAGTAACCAAACACTGCAAAAATATTGCCAAAGCGTGTACATTAATATGTTTGTATGTGTGATTGTAAGTGGCGTGATGCAGTCTAGTTTAGTTAGTTTATACGTACATTGTACATACATACATACACATATAATTAAATATAATATTAAATGTACATTTAATAACATTCTAATTTTATTGTTTCATATATATGCATATGTATATATTTACAATATTTGCTAACAATAACGTTTTCTATTTCAGCCTCTTTGCTCTTCGCTAGACCAGACAGCTAAGGGAAAAAATACTAACCTAGAACACGGAACATGTATATATATAACTGTATTACAAAATAAAATATAAAAAAATATTTTACCCTTTTTTCTGGGAATGGGTGGCGCGGGTTTAAGTGCAAAAGTTCTTCATTTGAGAATTTAGAAGTTCACTATCAAGAACTTGTTTCTCATTTTGAGCGCTGGAAATTTCTCAGTATGAGAAAAGGGGATACTCGTTTCCAAAATTCAAGCTAAATTATTTCTAAAAATGAGTGCAGTTTGTACTCATATTGAGGAAAATTGTTCAAGAAAGAGCACAAATGTACTCAGTTTAAGTACAAATTTTTTGAGAAATTTGTACTGAAAGTGAGTTTTTTGCACTCAATGTGAGAATTTTTGTTCATGCTGAATTTTTGAGTACAAAAATACTCAATTTGAGTGCAAATTACTTGAATAATTCTCTCTGTGTAGGTAACAAAGATCCCAATTCGGGTTGTTTTTAAATATCTAAATATTTATTAAACATTTTGACGACGATTTTAAGGATCTTCGGAGAGTGATAAGGCTTGGTTCCGTATACAAATATGTTTCTATGCACTGCAATGATTTAATTTATAGTTTAGAAAACCAGAAATACCAATTGTGTACTTTTGCGTTGGCGACAACCTATGCACGCATGATTACAATATTCTCGGGACCGCATAATACATCTAAAACCGGATTTCGCGGGCATAGTGTAATCAAATAAAACAAAACGTCTTCGGTAATATTTAAATATATATATGTTATATAGAAAACTATACGAAAATTGAATAAAAGTATATTTGAAAACAAGAGGCACATCAGATCTTCACCATTAAAGTATTTTAATGTCAACCGAGAACATATTTTATTTTATTAGGAAAAGTGCCGCCATTCATGGTTCATTTGAGGAGTCTTTCGGGTGCAGGCAGACGGCATTTTCGCAGCTTTCCCCAGAGAGAACTCATTCGGCTCGGCCTCATTCGTCAACCAGCATTTTGGGTTTTGCCTGTCAACGTTTTAAGGTATTTGGGAGAGAGGTGCTGGACCAGGACAACTAAGCCACATGATGCCAATGTCGTCCCATGTCGTCGACTACGCACATTTCTGACAGAAGCGGTGAAAATTTAAGATTGATGACCGGGCCGAGTGTTTGCTGGAAATTGGTTGAGCTGTTTGGGTGTCCGGGTGTCGATGTCGAGTGCCGGCTAAAACCCAAATAATGTTGGAAAATGTCCGCCCGCAGCAGGATCCGTATCCCCCGAAGGATAGGCCAGACCGAGTGAAGGGGGAGTAGCCGTCAAGTTGGATTAATTTAATTAGCAGACACCACTCCACCTGGCGAAACACCCCTGACCAGGCACGACTGCAACTGTGAGGTCAATGCTGCGTTGGTTTAAAAATTAAAAAATTCCAACGGAACGAATTTGTATTGAAAATAATAAAAGTAATCACTTCAGTAGCCCGCTGACCGTCAACGGCCGTCTAACTCGAAGACATTGTCTATATTGGACAACTGTTGAAAAAACGTCTGTTAATTACAATTTAGTTTGCTTAATTTCTGAGGGGAACACTCGAGCACTCGAGCACCGACATTTGTTTGGCTTAATAATCGGCGAGCGCAATTTACCAAGGGTTAAGCTGGAAATAGCTTATGGGGATTACAGTGCGAAGTAAACGCTGTCCAGCCGGCGACTCGAATAATGCCAATTAAACTTGCACAGAAACCAGTTCACTTACCATTTTCTTTATGTCTCATTTTTGGCAGTAGCCACCGCACCATCAGCAGCAGCACCTGTGCGTCCACCTTTGAAATCTGCTGACTGTTTGCTGGATATCTGGTGGCAATCGGCTCACATATAGTTTATAGGCTTTGCTGTCGGGCCTGACCTTGATACACATAAATTATTGTTCGCACTGTGGCCTTTCTGGTAGGAGAACAATGAAATATTTGGGTACATTCGCTGTACAATTTTTTAGATCTCTCTGCAAAGTAAAAGTCAAGGGGGGTTACGAACGAACTATCAACTAAGGGATTGTTGAGGATTGGTTTTAAATTACCCAACAATAATGATACTCACAGAATTCAATTATGGCATACGAGAAGCCACAAAATGGCGTTAAAGAATTATCAAAGTTACCAGGCAAGCACCTTATAGGTAGACAAAATACTTTTTGTGTTACTAACTTCCAGAAGCTTTTACGATCTAATCCTCCAGTTCAATAAACTGTTGGCACTTGTATAAGCTTGTGGAAATGTTCATGTCCATCGTCTCCACAATCGGACCAATTACGGATAAGTCGATATCAACCAGAAGATAGGAACCCAAGAAATATAAACACTTGATTGGATTTTTCGCTTTTTTTGGTAGCCTATTGTTGTTTTTCGTTTATTGTTTACACCTAAACTTAAACTCAAATGTAAATTTTGTCCAAAGGGCCGAGACGACGTTTGGTGGGTGATGGATGGATGGGTGGTGGATGGCTGATGGCGGTGTTGTGCGGCCCTCCAACGATTCAATGTTCCGTGATGAGTGCCAATAGGTGTTCTGGCCAGGTGCAAGCCCTGATTGAGCCCTAGTTGCGGTTTCTTGGACGGATCCGGGCTGTCATCATTAACAACTGGGTGTTGATTTGGAGGGTGGAAACAAAATCCTGATCATTTTTGGTTATTATTCAGAGCAGCGGCAAGGCCGATACAGAAAAGAAAAATCTACAAGAAATGTATTGTATTAGTGAAAATATGGATTTAGTACAGAGATGTATGTTTAAATAATTAATTATAATGATCATGTTACAGAATTTATATAAAATATTTTGTTTACAACATTAAAAAAAAATATTTTAAGAACTAAGGAAATTAACAAATTGCTTATTGACATTCATTGTGAGAACAATAATTTCTAAATAATATATTAATATTTTTAACGTTTGATAAGAATATGAAAGCACGATTCTTCTCTGATATTCTACATAGTTACCTCTACATATCTGCCATTTGGGGGTCTGCAAGCAGGCTGAATCCTAAAGAAAAGTATCCAAAGGTGGGTATCTGATGGTTTTTTGGTCTGAATGACCCCAAGGCGCGATCGCAAGCTGCTCCTGGTCCCGAACCTCTCGGACTCAACACAAAACACTGAATGAGCCAGCCAGGAGCCCCTGCCCTCTATTTATACGAAAGCCCGGGATCGAAAGCCTGTTTACCCCTGTTGAGGTTCGACGATCCTTTAACTCACTTCATCGGTCTTGTTTCTGGATTATTTCCCTGTTCCCTTTGTTTTCCCTGGGCTTGTGCTTTCTGTTTTTGTTCGGTTGCATTGTCAGTTTGCATTGTTGTTCGCTGCTCTCTGGATGATAATGACGATGGTGAAGTTGAGAAGGGTTTTGGCTGCGTATCGACGTCGAGGAGCACCCGAAATCAGAAATCTTCCACTTGATTAGTCGTACTTTGGCTTCGAAAAAGGGTGATGTCGAAGGAAGCAGTTGGCTAGCTGAGATTGCACTCAGAGTCTGACCTTGAAGGGCCCCTCCAGAACCCTCGGTTCAGAATCCAGAATTGTTCTTTAGAAAAAACAACAGGTGCGAGTGTCTAGCTCCCCCTAAAGATCCTATGAAAGCTGTGGGAAAATACAGCCCCGAACTAGAGACACACTGAAACAGCTCCCCCGATGAGTTGTAAGACCATTTATCACCCGGCAAGTAAAGTCATGACCCCATAATTTCCGTTTTATATTACAAACATCAACAACAAAGGGATTCTCTTCGCCTTGCGGTAGACGAGGACGAGTCCTTCCATTCAAATGGAAATGACCGACACAAAGCCCAGAAATTTGTCTGCCCCTTCAGACAGACAGAGGGGATCAGGATCCGTTCGGGTATCGGAATCATAATCATCAAGCAGGCCAACGCAGTTCGTTGCCCTCGCAGCCTCCTTAAAGGATCGCCGCACAAAAAACCAGACTGCACCACCAAAAGCACCGCATGAATTGCATTGCTCTAAGACTGCAGCAAGGACTCGGGCAAGGATTGCTCCTATGATGTCTGTGAACTTTTTCGCACATAAAAAAAGCCAGAACTCGTTGTGAAAACAAGCACATAAATAATGCGAGCTCGAACAGGACGATGTGAACGACCTCTGAGAGTCCTTTGCCAGGAATCTACATCTGATTAAGTTTCCCAAATCACTCTTCTTGTTGTTTTCATGATATATGTCTACATACTTGTATGCATTTTTTTATTGGTGCTGTCAATAAATAAATGTACAGTAATAATAAAGCCAACAATTCTATGTACAAAGTCGATTTCAGCCAGGATTCTTAGTGGTGGTAGGCGACCGAGGGAGCCGAGTACGAGGTGTAGGCGGCAGCAGGGGCGGCGTAGTGGGAGGGGGCAGCGTAGGTGGCATAGGCAGCGGGGGCGGCATAGTGGGCCACTGGAGCAGGAGCAGCATAGTGAGCCACTGGGGCAACGGTCTTGACCACAGCAGGGGCGGCGTAGTGAGCAACTGGAGCCACGGTCTTCACGACGGCAGGGGCGGCGTAGTGGGCCACAGAGGGGGCGGCGTAGGAGGCATAGGCAGCGGGGGCGGCGTAGTGGGCGACGGGAGCGGCAACGGTCTTGACGACCGGGGCAACGGCGACGGCCTTGACAAGGGGCTCACGGTTCACCACGGCGTTGAATCCGTTGATGGGGTCGGCGGTGTACTGGACGGTCCTCTTGTAGCCATCGGCGTCGATCAGGGAGTACTCTCCGCGGACCACGTCACCGTCGCGCTCCTCCACCTGGCCCTTGTTGTCGCCGGTCAGCTTGTCATCGACTCCGTAGGAGAAGCGGTACTGGGGATGAGGGTCGTACTCCTCGGCGGCCTTGACCACGACCTTCTGGGCCACGGCCACGGGGGCATGGGCGTAGGTGGCAACCGCGGGGGCGGCATGGTACACCTGGGGGGCGGCAATTGGGGCGTAACCGGCGCTGGCCACGGCGACGAAAGCGAGGGCGAAGACGAACTGGGGGGTATAATCGTTAGATCTCCATCCAGAACTAATAATCCCGGATTCCCTCGGGTTACTCACCTTGAATGCCATTTTGCTGGGAGTGCTGATTGGTTGTTCTTTACAGAAGTGAACTGGATCTGCGAATGATACTTTTCTGGGACCGATCGACAACTTTTATAGTAAATCAAGCTGCCAGCTCTGCTCTGCTTTGGCCCAATCCGCCGACAGCGAGCGTTATTTTCGCGGTGACAGCGAAGCATATTTAATGTTTCTCGACTGCGATTGTTGTCGGGCAATAACTTGTACTTCCTGTTCGTGGCGCTAAGCTCTGTGGGTGTGCAAATGCTTTTGGCCACAGATTCTAAAGCCGTCAGCACCAAAAGAGTGAAAGATCTCCGGCGAAAGGTTGGCTTGGAAACAGAGGGCTTGGCACGGCCTAATGTGTGGCTAATTACTTAACTAAATTACTAGGCATAAAATTGTATGAATGAGATTTACTGAATTTGTTCATCTTTTTTACAAAAATGTGAGCAAGTATTTTATTCATATTTCTTTACCATTCCCTTGTTTCCATATTCTGATCGTAGGCTCTTTTTCTAAGCTTCTTAAGAAATAATGCTCTTGAGATTAAATTATTGTTGAAACGGTTTCGTAATCTCTTATGAGTTATGTAACTTTGAAAAGGTGCCGGTTATTTGGATAGAAGGTTTAGTGACCTTTTGCTCAGCATTCTTTTTGACAAGTCAGCTAGATAAAAATGGAATCAGAAACAAGGACCAGCAAACCTTAGTAAAGGTGCCATATTAGGATTATCTCTATTACATTTTATTTGACTTGTCATGAGAGATATTTAATCTTTAAAGGATGGGGTTTTTATTGAAAAAATAGTTGAAAACAATATAAAGATCCCTATTTATAACTTGTATCTTGCTCATTTTTTTTCCTGATAAATACTAAATCCATTTTCCAACTGCTATCTCGGCAGATACTAATTTCGAAGATGGTATATTATTTAGATGGTTTGTGCATTGATATGAACAACATTGTTTAAAATATGTTACGTAATACATTATCCCTGAAGGAGGCAACCGCAATCCAATTTTGTTAATTTCCCTTTTCGAGTCGAATATAGAGAATCGCTGCTTCATTCCCAAATTATCAGACACTTTTCGGCCTTTACGCAATCTGCAAGAATCAAGGCCACCCAGCATTAAGACACATCCCAAATCCCATCCTTTAAAGATCTGCGATTAATCGGAACGCTATTAGCAGATGCAATCATTTCACAACGACCACTTTGTACGTGGGCACCTGGCAGAAGGGAAATCCCGCCGAATCCTTTCTAAATAATTGGACTGCACTTCGCATTCGCCAATCTCCTCTCTTGGCCCTCTGCCGTCGACTCTGCCGACTGCGCCGTTGACTTCGCAGAGCGGTGACTTCGCGCTAATTTGGAGCATGATATTCAGAAGGCCAAGCGTAAGCAGTTCGCCTCACATGAGCAGAAAGTGCAAGCGCGGGCTATAAAACCACTGGCCGGGCCAGAAGCCACATCATTCAGCCCTCCGCACCGTTTCTGCAAAGAACCAGCCCTCAAATCCAAAACAAAACCTTTAAAATGGCATTCAAGGTGGGTCCCATTTAAGATATCCTCCTCCGTTTTATCTAACGATTATACCCTCCAGTTTGTCTTCGCCCTCGCCTTCGTCGCCGTGGCCAGCGCCGGCTACGCCCCCATCGCCGCCCCGCAGGTGTACCACGCCGCACCCCAGGTGTACCACGCCGCCCCCGCGGTGGCCACCTACGCCCATGCCCCCGTGGCCGTGGCCCAGAAGGTCGTGGTCAAGGCCGCCGAGGAGTACGACCCCCACCCCCAGTACCGGTTCTCCTACGGAGTCGATGACAAGCTGACCGGCGACAACAAGGGCCAGGTGGAGGAGCGCGATGGCGACGTTGTCCGTGGAGAGTACTCCCTGATCGACGCCGATGGCTACAAGAGGACCGTCCAGTACACCGCTGACCCCATCAACGGATTCAACGCCGTGGTGAACCGTGAGCCCCTTGTCAAGGCCGTCGCCGTTGCCCCGGTCGTCAAGACCGTCGCCGCTCCCGTCGCCCACTACGCCGCCCCCGCTGCCTATGCCTCCTACGCCGCCCCCTCTGTGGCCCACTACGCCGCCCCTGCCGTCGTGAAGACCGTGGCTCCAGTGGCTCACTACGCCGCCCCTGCTGTGGTCAAGACCGTGGCTCCAGTGGCTCACTATGCCGCCCCCGCTACCTACACCTCCTACGCCGCCCCTGCTGTCGCCTACCACCACTAAGAACTGCCATCCCACATTCCACATCCCTTTATTGTTATAGTTTTACAAACGACCACTAAAAATAAACCTATATTTGTCATTTAAATAGCCAATTTCACTCTATAACTGTATCCGGCTCTAAGGATACGTTTAGCCTGGAGCTGAATTCAATTTAAGATTCGAACACAATTTAATTATTTCTGCTTCATTAGGGCTGAATTCGAATGGCTGTGTGGCCAATTAATTGAACTGGGCTGCGACATTGAAGTTCCAAAGTTTGGGTTTTAAAGTTTAATTGGATTTTTTCTTTCAATCGTTCCATTCCATTCAGAGATCCATTTGCTACACCCGCTACGATTCGATTCAGCTCTGAAAATTGACCAACCCTATCAGCGAATAATAAATCATAATCTGATAGATGTAAAGTATGTATGCTTATATAAGTATGTCACGGATTTAACTATAACAACATGGGATTCTGTGGTGTAGCACGTGGTCATTTGGCTTCCGGTTGGTGTTTCGGTTATTCCCGTTTATGTGCAAAACGGACCTCAGTAGCCGGCTTTTTCCATTCCAATTATAGCAACTATTCTTATTCATATTCGTATCATGACGCGTATGACGTAGAATAGAGGGCATTATAAACTAGTTTGTTTTGGAGCCAGACAGACTTTTTTGTTCTTGTCTTAGACAATTTCCATTGAAGCCGGCACTCCATGTACACACAAAAAAACTCTTTGGTCAAATAGACCAAATTAAGTTAAATGGGCCCATCAAACTGGTGATTTGACCCATGAAATAGTGACTCTTAATATTTTAAGTTAAGTTAAGTTATAAATCATACTATGTAAGAATTCTAAATCTGAAATCATAAGTCTCTAGCTCCTAGTTTCCGAAATCCCTGCTTTTACACTGACAAACAGACGGAAATGGCTAGATCGACTAGTAAGCTTAATCAAGAACAAATATATTTTATAGTGTCAGAAACGCTCCCTTGTACCTGTTACATACTTTACCCCGAAAACAATATATAATATATAAAAATAATTTATAAAAGGGGGTAAGCTATAGTCGGGGACCTTTTATATCCCCTGACTATTTGCCATCCAGCTAAACTTATTAATAAATAGTCCGATTTAAACGGCGTTAGGCTGGGCATGACACTCGTCTGAAGCAAACATTGAACTCTTGTTCCTTTTGGACAGAACAATAAAATCGATTGTAATTCTTCTGAAGAATTTGCGATTCAATTATTGTTCATCCTTGGTGTCAACTCTTCTGTTCTTACGAAAGGAGCAAAAGATCAACCACTTCTAAAGAATTCGCGGTTCATTTGTGCGTCATCCTCTGGCGAAAAATTATAGCAAATCTTCAAAAAGATTTTAATAGACACAGTCCGCAGGTTAATCGTTGTATCCAAGACTCTAATAAAATATTTTTAGTGTCATTATTTTTTTACAATACCTATGAAGTGTATTGTTGTTTTGAACAAGATATGTTTTCAGTAGCAATACTTTTTTAATGAAAACTGAAAAACAATGGTAATGCTTATAGGCACAACACAGGTAAGTACTAGGGTTTCACCCCAGAAACGATAATCAACTCTTCGGTATAAACATTATATAACTTATTCATTATATAACTTCAGAGTTTTAACTCTATAAAATGTTGTATTTACTATTTAGTACTATGTTCGTTTAGTGTTGAGTGTTTTTATACTTACATTATTTACTGCCCTTTGTATATTTAAGGCCCAACGCTTAATAAATTTAAGCTTTCGGATCTGATTTTATGTATGGGCACTGAAGCAAAAACAGAAATAGATATTTCCCAAAGCCTTGTTTTGTAGTTTCTGAGATCTGGACGTTCAAAAGGACAAACAGACTTATCGAATTGGCTGTTTCTAAAAACCTAAATAACGTTCCTTATTTACTAGACTGTTGTAAGATATTTTTATTCTGAAAGTTGTTTGTATCTTAATTATTTTTTATTCTTTCGCCTTACAAAGATATCTATGCTGATATTTATAGTCATATTTATAATATATATTTGTTTACTATTATGGAAAATGTAGAGCAACATACCAACATTACAAACATTGAAATAATTGAGAGTGCTTTAAGATTCTAAATCAAAGTTTGTATCTTGAACCGGGAGCGATTCAAATAGTAACTTCTAGTTTTTAGATTCAATGACAGTTTGTTCTTAATTTTTGATTTAAGCTACTTCGGATATTTACAAAACACAGTAAATCAAAGATCATTAAGTAATTTGTATTCATTGATTAAGATTTGTGTGAAAGTTTTTGAATTTTTCTAACTATATACAATTTCGATTCCTCTTTCATTTCTAAATGGAATTTTCAAGATAGAGATTCGTTTTGACTTGGAGCCAAAACGAAATCAAGACATTTTCGATTTGTTTAGCCTAAAAAAGTGGAACAACGCTCCTGTTAAGATCTAAATCTTTTACTTAATATTTACAGATATGTGCTACGGACAAAGAGCTTAAGAGGCTACGACACTGAATAGAATTACAAGACTCACGCCCAGGCGGCGAATTAGGCTAAGACATATTTACACTGGCTTAGGGCTCGCTTCCTACATGAACTAACTGAGTTGGTAGTACTCCGGCGCAAAGTCGTTGGCCAGGTTGCTCAGGAAGTTGAAGTCCGAGCTGTTCGAGTTCTCCAGACCACTGATCGCAGCCGTCCCAGCTGCAGTGCTCCCGCTGTTTCCAAATCCCTGGCCCTGACCCGTTGGGCCCCCATTGAGGGCGAATCCGTGGATGTGCGATGGCGGTGGTCCAACTCCGACTCCCACTCCCACTCCGCCGGGAATCGCCGCGGAATTGTGGTGGGCATGGATGTGGGCATGCGCCTGCGCCGGCACCTGCACGTGGTGATGGGGGTGGTGTCCGTGGCCGTGGGTGGCTGGACCTGGCGGCTGCTGACCCGCCTCGTAGTACCCACCACCGCTCCCGGCGGCGCCGAAGTTGTTGTAGCCCTCGCAGTTCTCCATCTGCAGGCCTAGAGCACTGTATGTCTCCCCAGGGCCCAGGTGATGCATGTGCCTGTGCGGGGACAAATAGTTTAAAGATGAGAACTCGTATTCAGGTCAGCAGAGTTAAAGGTTACTTATCACATTAATTTTTTATGTGATTTAGAATACCTTACTTATATAAAGGAATATTTTTTTCAAACCATTCTGTCGCTAAGGCCAGTTTTATGCTTTTGGCTTAAATAAATATATTGTTTATCCTAGTTGAAATAAAAATTTACACTTCAGTCAATTTCTGTTTTTTTCAAAAAATATTTAAATGGATTTGATGTTTTTAATCATATATACAATTAATTAATGTATAAATAATGATTTTATAAAAGAGCCAGAGTAAAGATTTAATGTAAAATAAATGATCATAATATTTTTATTAAAAAAATTAATCTAACATTAAAAAATCGTCGATACGTTATTTTGAAAAATATTTGGCGCAGCTCTAATGTATTTGTTGCTCACTAGGCTGTGCTAGCGCCACCTGTGCGGCCAGCTAATGTAGTCATGATATAATGGATCGGGTATCGGATAACTACCACCCAAGTCAAGAGCCAGCAGTGTTGGAAAGTGCTGGACCTTGTGGATAGCTAAGACAGAAACCATGTAAAATGCACGTAAATATTGTTTCCATTGTTAACTAATTTAACTATTCCAATACAAATACACTATTTATGCAATTTTATTGCACTTTCTTGGCTACTCACTGGTGATTGATCGCTGCTTGCTGGTGTGGCTGCTGCTGCTGTTGAAAGACCACAGATTGGTGTTGGTGGGCCTGCGCCTGTTGTTGAAAACTCATGTTGTCGTAATAGGCGCCGTTGTTGAAGTTACTGGGGCCGTTGACGGGCGCCTCAAAGTCGGCTACGTGGCTTTGGTGGTGCTGCTGTTGTGGGTGGTGCTGCTGGTGGTGCTGCTGCTGGTGGTTCAAGTACGCGCTGCCGTTGGTGTCGTTGTAGTTGTAGTAGAACTGGTCGCTCTGCTGCTGCTGCTGACCACTTTGGTGGAAGTTGGCCGCGTTTGGTTTGGGACTCAGATACTCGCCGTGCAGGGCCTGCTGCTTGTTGTGGGGATTGTGGTGCGGCGAGGCGGCGAATTCGATGTCGTATTTGCCGTAGTAGTCCTGCGGCTGCTGCTGTTGTTGCGGGTGCATCTGCTGCTGCTGCATTTGCTGCTGCTGCTTGGGACTAGGATAATAGCCTGGAAAGTAGCCGCCAGCTGGGCCAGCGCCACCCCCGTTTCCGTTTCCACTTCCACTATTGCTGTCAGATAGAGGCGTGGGCGTGGCAATGGCATTGGCGGCACTCTGAAAGCGCTTCTTGCCGCCCGCCTTGCTGGCGGGTGCATTTCCGACGGCGGCGGCATCTGAGTCCCGTCGAAAACTGACCAGACTGGGTGTGGAGTTCTCGTAGCCAAAAGGCGAGGCCTTCGACGAGGTGGACACCGCCTCCTTTTTGATGACCTGCAGTGCAGCAATAAAAAGCATACAATATTGTTATCAAATTGCCCCATTTACTTCGTTTACTTATGAATGTAGTGTATGTTTCCCACGCCCTAATGTTTTTTAAGCCCTAAAAGGTTTTGTTTTAAAACAATCTGCGTTTTTCTCACTTTATAAGGCACGCCCATTGTAAATATGCATATGAAAGAAATCGTTAAGGACGTAGTCTTAATATAAAAGTTACATATTCAGCGAAAATAACACCAAGATGTTTAGTTTCTGAGTTTTATAAAATGAAAGATAACAATATTATTTGAATTTTTAAACCGAAACGTATAGTTCTTTGGTTATAGGTCAAATTGTTGGATATTAATGGTTTGTTAATGCTTTGAAGGTCTCTCTTTCTATTTAATGGTTCTTCACACTATGCATGTTTTGAGCCTATACAAAATAATACAACGCTTAAACGCTTTGATTACATTTCGTATTATTTTACAGATCTAAGGAACAACTTATTTTTCCTCAATATCCTAGGTATCTTACTCACCTGTCCCTCGTCTTTCTTCTTCACCTTGATGGGGCTGCTCTCCTCGATGTCCTCGTCCAGGCTGACAC